TGGCACAATTATCTGTTTTTTGATCTACTTCCAGCCTTTCTCGTGTCTCTGACGCTCTTAGCTAATGCACAGAGACGCTGCATTAGTCACACTCTGAGACTCAGCCGTGAATAGATTTACCAGCATGTTGATTACACAGCGCACTTCACGCGGCTGCATGAGATGGAGGAAGCAGAAAGCTGTCCTTTATATTTTGCCTGTTCAGTGGTTGATTTAAAAAGCAGAGGAGAAAAAGGTGAAACAAGGCCTCAATGGAAGTCACATTCATTCAAATACAACAACAGATTTCATATTAACAGCAGAAACTAGCTGCAGCATATTGAAAAGTAAATACTGTATACTGGTTACTATTTTTTAAGTAGTATGTGAAAGACGATGAGCAATAATAATTGCTTAAATCAACACAAGATAAAAATTTTGTAAATGCGTGTTATAGCGACCAATTTATTTTGACCTCATAATGTTTAATCAAAAAGTCATAACCTGATCTTTCGGTGAAAACACTTCTTTCTAGTAACGTAAGCAGAAATTGACATGCAAGCTCACATTAATTTTTTAATGCAACGCCCACATCTTAAAGGGATAGTTCACCCATAAATGAAAATTCTGTCATCATTTACTCACCCTCATGTAGTTCCAAACCTGTAAGATGTTCTTTCTTCCGTTGTACACAAAAGAAGATATTTTGAAGAATGTTGGTAACCACACAGTTAACGGTAGCCATTGACTTCCATATAATTTTTTCCCCCCATCAAATGGAAGTCAATGGCTACCATCTTTGTTCATCAGAAGAACAGGTGAACTTTACTTTAAGATCCAATCAACAACTGATGGATAGAACCAAGTCCCTGCCAAGTCCTGGTTAAATATAACCCAGCGCTGGGTTAAAAAGGGACAAACCCAGCTATTGGGTTGTTTTGACCCAACGGTTGGGTTGTTTTGAACCCAACTGCTGGGTCAAAACAACCCAATAGCTGGGTTTGTCCCTTTTTAACCCAGTGCTGGGTTATATTTAACCCAGCATTTTTTAGAGTGTACTGTATATACATACAGTACATAAACATTAACTAATTTTACTGAAATTTGGGGGATCATATTGTATTCAAATTTACATTCTTGTTATGTAAATCTAACATGCTGAATGCAGTTACTGCTGCATTTTTAAACACATGTATTATGTATTATTTATTGTTGTAATAAAATGTATCGAACCCTCATCCAAGGTAAAAACCAAACACTCAAACAATTGTAGCATCACACCAGGAACAATGTGCTATTTTGAAAAGCGCAATTGCAAACCAGAAGAGGAACGAAGACAATAGTGTATACTGAACTCATCTAGGAATACCTCATTTATTGGTGCCAAAGCATGAATCGTTGCGGTGTAGAGTGCTAAACAGTGCTAAACGCTGATGGCTCCACACAGCTTTTCCTCAGAGAAATTGTAGAAAGGAAGCTGCTGGCTAAAGAGAAGGATTTCACATGCTGCTCTAATTGGACAAAACACGGGCTTCTGTTGAAAATTTCACTGAATGCCATCACTGAACTGCCAAACCATTTTCATTTGAAATAAGGTTATGGCCTGAATATGTTACAGTAATTCTTCATAGTTGCCTGAAAATTACTGAATAGAACCAATGTGAAAAAAGGAAAGAGTTGTTAAACCCTTAACCCTGTAAAGCGTACAGTATTATATTTGATTTGCAAAGCTTTACACTGTAAAAAGTAATAAGTTGAATTTATTAAACCTGTGGAAACTGATTGCCTCAAATTTCTCAAGTAAGTTAGTTCATCATTTTTGAGTTGATAAAACTTAGTACAACTTTGTATAACTTGTGTATTTGTGTAGACTACCAGAAAACTCTTGACGCTTCAGAACTTTCATAAAGAGATCATAAAATAAATCAACCATAATTTTATGAAGCTAGAAGAATACTTTTTGTGCACAAAGAAAACAAAAATAACGATTTTAGCAGCAGATGCCAGACAGGGTAAAAAAAGCCATTCAAACTGTTGCACAAAACAAACAGTATTGCCAGCTATAAAATTAAAATCTTTTCTGAAACTTTTGATTTGACTAGTGGTCGGCCGATATCTGGCATTTTTAAAATATCGGCATTGGCCGATAAGTTTTTATGTTTGGCCGATGTGTTGGAAGCGAATTTTATGATCAAAATCAAATCAAATTATTCATTTCTAATTAATTATATATGAATTAAAATAAATATAAAGTATATATACAGTATATATATATATGGCCAATATGAAGCTGATATATATAGCGGCTTTATATCGGCCATCGGCCACCCTGCTCTCTAAGATATCAGCATCGGCCATCAAAAAAACAATATCGGTCAACCACTAGATTTGACATTTGAAAAGTGATCAAAATAAAGAATTTTGATTAAACACTGACTTATATATTCCATTTTGTTTGATTTCAAAAACTGATCAGAAAACCATGATCAAGAGAGCACCCACTCTCTTTAAGCCTTTTTCATGGCTTAAAGGGTTAGTTCACCCAAAAATGAAAATTAGCCCGTGTTTTACTACCCCCCTCCCCTCTTTTGCCCCAAGCACCACTGAACTCTGACCCTCTGACGGACTCTCCCACTCCCCCCTCCCAAATACACACACACACTGTCACTTTAATCAGTCTGAATAAGCTCTTTTGCACTACAAATCATTATATCTGCACTGTTGTTTACTTCACTGGTTTGCACTCTATCTGCCATGCGCCTTGTGCTGCTTTATATATTTTTTTACATTTTACCTTATTTGTATATTTGTATAGTTGTATTTTATATTTAATCTGTATCTATCTGTATTTATGTTCTACTGTTAGTGTTATCTGTATGCACCAAGGGTCTGAGAGTAACGCAATTTCAATTCTCTGTGTGTATGTGCTGTACATGTGGAAGAATTGACAATAAAGCAGACTTGACTTGACTTCCTAGGTGTATGTGACTTTCTTTTTTCAGACGAATTCAATCGGAGTTATATTAAAAATTGTTCTGGCCCCTCCAAGCCTTACAATGGGGGTAAGCAGGTGTTGTTTGTCAACAGTTCAGAAGACATGAAATAAAATGCGTGCATCCGTAATAAAACGTCCCTCACACGGCTCCGGGGGGTGAATAAAGGCCTCCTGTAGCGAATTCATGCATTTTTGTAAGATAAATATCCATATTTCAAACGTAAGATGATGTAAGACGTGGCGCCGTGTGCGTGCCTCTGAGAAATGCAGGAACAAAGGAAGCAAAGTTTCCTTACTTTAGCAAAGGAAAACCAGTCTCCTCTTGGCTTATGTTAAAATTCTCTGACATTTTTCTTTACAAATCCTCGTTTTGTGCTTCTTATTCGTGACCGGCGTTTTGTTTTGTTTTGTTTTGTCTCCGCGCTCTTCACTAATCACGCAACGCCAACGTATTACGTCATCCGCCGGAAAGCCTTCCGCGTATGACAGATGGCAGAAATGATAGAAAAGTGTTTATTACGATTGAAATATGGATATTTATCTTACAAAAATGCATGGATTCGGTACAGGAGGCCTTTATTCACCCCCCAGATCAGTGTGAGGGACGTTTTATTATGGATGCGCGCACTTTATTTCACGTCTTCTGAACTGTTGACAACCAACACCGCTTATCCCTATTGCAAGGCTTGGAGGGGCCAGAACAATTTTTTATATAACTTCGATTGAATTCGTCTGAAAGAAGAAAGTCACATACACCTAGGATGCTTTGAGGGTGAGTAAAACACGGGCTAATTTTCATTTTTAGGTGAACTAACCCTTTAATAGATAAAATTTGGTCCTTAAAATAAAGTGATACCATTTTATGTTATAACTAGTAGTAAAGTGGAAGATCGATGATTACTGTATATTCTAGCTTGTAAGCCACTGGCTAGCTAATAAGCTAACCGACGGTTACAGTAATGATCGTCAGTAAAACTAATACAATCTGCCTTTTCTGTTCCTCAAAAATGACAGCACACACTGTGAGGATGTAGTTTATAAATAGATCACCAAAAACGTAACTAATCTCACTGCCACATCTCAAACACAATCTAAATCATATTATTGGGAGATATGGAGTAATAACTGATATTTATATGCATTTTATCTAAGTGTTCTGTTACACTGTTATAAAGATCTTATTGATTTACATTACAGTCTTACTTTTCGGCCATATAAATATTACTAACTACACCAAAATTGCATATTTTGCTCAGTTTGGGCTTCTGAATAAATGTGACACCTTTTTTCTCTATATTGTCACACCTATATGAGCCATAAAAGCCTGATGTATCAAATATGACACTCAAATATTTATATATATATATATATATATATATATAAACTGGGGATTTTTGGACTAAAGTCAATTATTAGCCATTTTAGTGAAATATAATAATCTACAGTAAAAAGTCTACATAATCAACAAAATAACATGACTACTTCAACATTAATTATTAATTTGATGTCCATAGTGTTCCCATACTTTTTGATACAGTAAATGATTAATTTTTCAATATTTCTAATAATTTATTATTACAGGATACTTTAAAATGTATATATTTTCTAAATAATTAAAAAAAATGTACATACACATGGGAACCCTGAAAGTAAAACATACAGTTTACATTCACCTTGCAAAATATGCAAAATGCTAATAATTTTAACAGGGATCATGACAAATTGCATGTTGTTTTTAATTTAGTACTTCTCTTAATGAGCTATTTCACATAATGATCTTTACATATATTCCACAAGACAAAATAATAGCTGAATTTACAAAAAAATATGCTGTTCAAAAGTTTGCATGTTATTATTTAGCTATTATTTTGTCTAATAGATTATCTGCAAACATCTCTTTTGTGAAATAGCTCATTCAGGGCAGGACTAAATAAAAAACAACATGCAATTTTATGATCCCGTTTATATTGTTAAAAGTATTAAAATTTTTCAACATTCTGCAAGGCGTATGTAAACTTAAGACTGCCACTGTATATCCCACAATGCTCCACATATCCTTGTTTTTGTGTCACAGTTGAAATCCTGATCAACTATTGAGCAAACTCTTCATAAGTGTTTCCTCTGTATAGTGCTGCCCCCCTGTGACCTTTAGCAGAATTTACTACACGGTCAATGCTGTGTAAACATGCACTCGGCTAATCGAACACCGATCAGCAGGTTTTTTTTTACATTAACATCTATTCTACAGCTGCCTGAGAAACAGATTTTACACTTCGGCCGAGATGAAGGCTCTGGTTCCAAACATCCCAATTTCATTCTGGAAGCTCCTGAACTAGGCAGCCAGGCCAAATTGCTTCAATCAAATAAATTATTATGTAAATCAGGAGCTTTATTGCTTAGCTGGAATAGATCATTACCACAGCAGGCATTCTCTCAAGTCCAACTGTCCTTCTGAATCATCGGAAAATTATGGAAGTGTTTATCCAGCAAACTCAATGATGAAGTCACTCATTAACGGCACATGCAAATGAAAGCAATGGAGTTACTGGACCAAAGGTTGATATTTATTTATTTTTAAGAGAGAGAACATCACATGAATAATTGTCTTCCTAACAGCTAAGAAATCGATCTCAACGGTGAGCTTTTCTGTACATACACCGATCAGGCATAACATTATGACCACCTTCCTAATATTGTGTTGGCCCCCCTTTTGCTGCCAAAACAGCCCTGACCCGTCGAGGCATGGACTCCACTAGACCCCTGAAGGTGTGCTGTGGTATCTGGCACCAAGATGTTGGCAGCAGATCCTTTAAGTCCCGTAAGCTACGAGGTGGGGCCTCCATGGATCGGACTTGTTTGCATGGGACCCCTGACTGGTCTGCGGCTATGCAGCCCCGTACACAACAAACTGTGATGCACTGTGTATTCTGACACCTTTCCATCAGAACCAGCATTAACTTCTTGAGCAATTTGAGCTACAGTAGCTTGTCTGTTGGATCGGACCACACGGGCCAGCCTTTGCTCTCCAAGTGCATCAATGAGCCTACCATGACCGGTTCACCACTGTTGCTTTCTTGGACCACTTTTGATAAATACTGACCACTGCAGAGCGGGAACACCCCACAAGGGCTGCAGTTTTGGAGATGCTCTGACCCAGTTGTGTAGCCATCACAATTTGGCCCTTGTCAAACTCACTCAAATCCTTACGCTTGCCCATTTTTCCTGCTTCTAACACATCAACTTTGATGTTTATTTTGATGAATAATGTTTGGTGAAGGGGAAATCGCAGACCTGGCAACCCTGGCTTGAACTACAGGTGATTCATAAGGTTAAACAGAACCCATGTTATTTTTTTTTTAATGAGACTGCATTAATGCATTATTATCACATTAACTTCAACAGCCCTAAAAAATTCTACACACAAGTTGCAATCTTACACATTTCTTCACCCCCTTTTGATTGGCAGCAGTATATACTCGGCCCTGATTATCGACTGTTTTTAATCGGTAGATGGCCGATTTAATTGCTTTTATCAGCTAATGCCAATTATTAACTGTAAGAAGACATTTCGAGACTCACACCTGTAAGTTAATGCTGTTGTCAATCCCAAAAACTGACATTGTGAACGTAGCCTTAGATGCAACTTCTGTGCCACTTTTGCAGTGCAGAAATGGCTTTTGTTGATACTGATTTAATTTGGTTGGTAATAGCCTAGTGTGTCATTATTCTAATTAAATTTATTGATTAACTGTATGAATTTGACTTAAAAGATGATGCATATGTACATCTAATAAGGTTAGAAAAAAATTGCCTTTATGAAGATAAGAATGCCCCTGGAAAGGTGGCAAATATTAACCCTTAATGGAAAAATTAATTACTGTCACTGCTGTGAAATTACACAGTACAGAATATAAATATGAAAAGCTTTGGGAGTCAGCTGTCCATGACAGGTCTAAACCTGTCAAGATACCAGCACAAATACATCAGCTGATACATCAGTGCATCCCTACTTCATACAATACGGATTGCTTCAAAGCAGCTTTACAGTATTATCAGTTTTTTTTTAAATTCGTGAATCACAATTGATTTTTTTAATTGTAAAGTGGCTGTCCAGTGTGTTCATGTTTTTTACTTGTGTTTAAGCTCAACAAAGTTAATTAAGTTAATTAATGAACCTGAAAGGTTAAGTACACACACACACACACACACACACACACACTGCCATGGACCAATGGCAGCTCAAAAGAGTTTTCCACAAAATTCACACTAACAAGCTGTTTTGAAACACTGAAATGAACTTTGTTCTTATCAAATTTAGTTCAAAATGCCCATTTGTTCTTCAAATTTGCTTGTAGTATACCAGGGCTTTAAACAATTCCTGAATGTGTGTTCTACGGGCTTTAATTGAAATCTCAAAGTAGTCTCATTGGTATGCTAATTCAACAGCGCCCTAAAGCCAGATGTCCCAACCAAAGCACTCATGGCTGTTCCAACCATAAAAATCCCTGGCTTTTCTCCAGCTGGCTGGCACAAGTCTTGACCTTCCCAGAATTCCCTCAAAGAGCCCTGATGGTGGGCCACCTGCTGTTGCAATCGACGGCAAATTAAGCATTCATAATGACCCCACAGCTCATATTTAAGCCAGAATAAGCAGGCAGGTTCAGTCATTACATCTCACAGACTCATTCTCATGTGTTTGGCTAACAGGATATACTGAACAAGCCATTATGGATTTAGGATACACAATAAATCCAAAAAAGAGAAAAAAAAAAGACCAAGGTTACAGGTGTCGTGATTAGTAATCATTAAAAGCTTTCCATTTAGGCTGACCTCCTTTGGGACAACATTAAGAAACACACACACACACACACACATACATACATATATATATATATATATTGTATATAATATGTTGGAACCAGTTGTGCTGCTTAATATTTTTGGATAGAAACAGAATAGAAATAGAAATCTTTTGTAACATTATACTGTACACCACCGTTTAGGGTCAGTAGTTTTTTTAAGAAATTAATGCATTTATTTAGCAAAGATATGTTAATTGACTTTTTATTCATCAAAGAATCCTGAAAAAAGTATCACAGTGTTTAACGAGTGGGGGCGGGGCCGAGAGCCGTGGGAACGGAGCGAGGCCGGTGGAGTAATTGATAATGAGCGACACCTGCACCACTCACCGGTCTCGAGTCCCACGGAGGAGCTCCGGAAGGATAAAAG